AAAAGCTCAAAATCACTGAACATTAGAGAAATGCAAATCAAAACCATGATGAGATGCCATCTCATACTAGCCAGAATGACAACTATGAAAAAGTCAAAAAGTAACAGATGCTGGTGAGGTTGTGGAGAAAAAGGAATGCTTATACACTACTGGTGGGAGTGTAAATTAGTTGAACCATTGTGGAAGACAGTGTGGCAATTCCTAAAAGACCTAAAAACAGAAATGCCATTTGACCCAAGAATCCCATAACTGGGTATATACTCAAAGGAATATACAATTTGTTGTATTCTAAAGACACATGCACACATATGTTCACTGCAGTAGTATTTACAATAGCAAAGAAATGGAAACAGTTTAAATGCCCATCAGTGATAGACTGGATAAAGAAAATGTGGTACATACACACCATGGAATACTATGCAGTCGTAAAAGAGAATGAGATCATATCATTTACAGGAATATGGATGGAACTGGAGGCCATTATCCTTAGAAAACTAACGCAGGAACAGAAAACCAGATATTGCATGTGTGAGCTAAATGATGAGAACACATGGGCACATAGAGGGGAAAAACATACACTGAGCCTTTCAGAGGGTAGAGGGTGGGAGAAGGGACTGGATCAGGACAGATAACTAATGGGTACTCGACTTAATACCTGAGCAATGAAATAATCTGTTCAACAAACCCCCATGACATGAATTTGTCTACATAATAAACCTGCGCATGTTCCCCTGAACTTAACATGAAAGTTAAAAAAAAAAAAAAAAAAGAAATAGTCGATAAATTAGAACTCACTGTGTGTTTGGACTGAATAGCATTACCAAGACAGTACTTGCAATGCTCACAACTCCTCTGCAAGGTAGGGAAGGCTGCATGTTCTCACTGCACAGAGAAGGAAGCTATTGAGTGGCAGGACCAATGTGGCACAGTGGGCTTGGTTTCGCACCAGCACTGTGATTGCCTCTGGAGCGTTTAGATCAGGCTATTGAAATGTAGCTAGCATAGTCATGAAATAGAAGCGTACATTAAATAGAAAGTGGGGTAGTAGGTAAAGCTTCTGTGTAGCCTTGCATAAGTCAGATCAATTCTCTTGGCCTTAGTTTACTCAACTGTTAGACTCTGTTTAGTGAAGCCCACTTCCAGCTGTGAAAATCACGTTTTTTGCCATGTCGAAGGAATGCAATAGGAAGGAACAAAGGAATAACAAGTATGTAAAATTAAAAAAAGAAATGCGGTTAAGGGCTCTCTCTCTTTCTCTCTTGTAGGTGTGGGTGTGTGTTGGCGGGTGTCTCCTAATGGAAATATGAGGTAGCTGTAGGGACAAATTATAGGAAAGAGAAAATACATGAGAGTAAGGGTCAATGTATGGACATTGAAATTGGTTGCTTTTTGTTTATGGTATTGGTGGGAAAATGACCAGCCCATTAATCAGGTAGGACCAGGTGGCATAAAGAAAGCCTGGGTTACCTTGGTAAATGCCCAGTCTGTCCTCTCTTCCTCTATCCTGTTCTATCTATTTTGATTGACATGTTCAGCACTTTTTGATCTGTAGCAATTAAAAGGGAGCTTCTGCTGATGGAAGCTTGTCAGGGCTTTGAATCTGACACCAGGACCAGAGGGAGAGCTGCATCTGCCGTGGGAGTCTGGGCTGTCAGGAGATGACAGGGGCTTGCCCTTCCAAGGGGAGATCGCCTTTGGCAGGAGTAAGTGCTTTCACCCAGAGGCAGCCCTGCTAGTGAGATGAGAGCAGTGTGTACTGAGTTAGCAGACTCAAAGGAGCGAGCTGGCAAATAGAATCCCATCACATCTGCCAGAGAAAGTGATCAAAAGCAGCAGGACCCAGGCAGCTGGCAAAAGGTGACCCCTGGATACTGGGCTGCTTCAAAAACACAGCTGATCCCAAAGATTGTGAGAAAGTGAATGAATGTGCTCACTGTAAGTCTCTGCCAAGTTAAATAATACATCTCTCTCCTTCCTTCTCTCTCTTTTTCTCTTTCTTTACTTTTTAAAAATCCATTCTATCTAGTTTACTACTGATACGGTTTGGCTGTGTCCCCACCCAAATCGCATTTTGCATTGTAACTCCCACAATTCCCACATGTTGCAGGAGGAACCTGGTGGGAGGTGATTGAATCGGGCGGGTCCCGTGCTGTTCTAGTGATAGTGAATAAGTCTCACGAGATCTGACGGTTTTAAAAATGGGAGCTTCCCTCTTGTCTGTCGCCATGTGAGACGTACTTTTCACTTTCCGCCATGATTGTGAGGCCTCCTTAGCCACGTGGAACTGTAAGTTCAATAAACCTGTTTCTTTTGTAAACTGCCCAGTCTCGGGTAGGTCTTTATCAGCAGTGTGAAAACAGACTAATACGACTACTTACAAATTATGAGGAAATAATGTTTTGTACAAGGTATATACTTAAAAATTTTTTTAAAAAATTTTTTAATTTGTTTATTTTTTATTTTTTAATTATACTTTAAGTTCTAGGGTACATGTGCACAACGTGCAGGTTTGTTACGTATGTATACATGTGCCATGTTGGTGTGCTGCACCCATTAACTCATCATTTACATTAGTTATATCTCCTAATGCTATCCCTCCCCCCTCTCCCCACACCAGGACAGGCCCTGGTGTGTGATGTTCCCCTTCCTGTGTCCAAGTGTTCTCATTGTTCAGTTCCCACCCATGAGTGAGAACATGTGGTGTTTGTTTTTTTTTTTTTTGTCCTGGTGATAGTTTGCTGAGGATAATGGTTTCCAGCTTCCAAAGGACATGAACTTATCCTTTTTTATGGCTGCATAGTATTGCATGGTGTATATATGTCACATTTTCTTAATCCAGTCTATCATTGATGGAATTTGGGTTGGTTCCAAGTCTTTGCTATTGTGAATAGTGCCACAGTAAACATACATGTGCATGTGTCTTTATAGCAGCATGATTTATAATCCTTTGGGTATATACCCAGTAATGGGATGGCTGGGTCAAATGGTATTTCTAGTTCTAGATCCTTAAAGTCTCCAAAAAATACAAATCAATGTGCAAAAATCACAAAGCATTCTTATACACCAATAACAGACAGAGAGCCAAAATCATGAGTGAACTCTTTCACAATTGCCTTCAAAAGAGAATAAAATAACCTAGGAATCCAACTTACAAGGGATGTGAAAGGACGTCTTCAGGAGAACCTACAAAACTACTGCTCCAGTCAAATAAAAGAGGAACACAACAAATGGAAGAACATTCCATGGTCATGGATAGGAGAACAATATCGTGAAAATGGCCATACTGCCCAAGGTAATTTATAGATTTCAAACCATCCCCATCAAGCTACACCAATGACTTTCTTCACAGATTTGGAAAAAACTACACGTTTCTTTTTTTTTTTTTT